TTGCATTAGTCTTATTTATTTTTTTATCATTTGAATAATTATCACGTTCTCATTCTTTTTAACACAGTATAATTTATTAATTTAGGGTGTATTTGAAAGATATTATTTTGAAAATATGTATTTTGGAATAGTAAATTGATAGAAAATGTGTGGTTGAAAAAGAAGGAAAATTTATTGATTTGATAGAAAATATTATTTTATTGAAAAATGTATGGTTGAAAATGAGTTGAAGAATTAAAATGAAAATTTTAATGTGTGTCAAACAGGGCCTTAGTACTCATAGATATGTCTATTGCATATATTTTGTTACTCCTGAAGTATCGCAACGGTATTATTAATATTTCAGAAAAATATTATCGCTCCTAAAGAGCACGATTCATAATTTTAAATATTCCAAAAAAATATTGACTTATTACTCTTAAAGAAGTAATGATAAGATACAACGTGCTCTCTAAATAACACATATTTCAAATAATATATTATTAGTGTTTATTCTAGAAGGAAAAATATATAATTCATATCATGTTGATATTGACTACTTAATTAACTATTATGTGATGTTTAATCATATTCTTCAAAATTAATTATATTATCTTATACTTAATTGTGTAGTTAATCAAATAACAAAAATAACAACTAGAATTTGATGCACTTGACATATTTGGTAAAAACNCTATTTTAAATAAGTGTTTATCCCTGAAGGAATACACGTAACTTATGTCATATAGATATTGATCATTGATATTTAATCATATTCTTCGAAACTGATTAAATTTTCTTTTACTTTATTGTGTAGTTAATCAAATAACAAAAATCACAACTTGAATTTGCTGCACTTGACATATTTGGTAAAAACTGTCTGTCATGTGTCCTTGATACTAATATTCATCTTGTTTTAAAAGGCGTGTGAGTGAAAATAAAATAAGGAAACAAACAATTCATATAGGACGATGTAAAAACACTTATCTTCCTTCATCATCATCTTCATGGTGAATTGAAAATTGAATACCTCATTAAGAAAGATCCACATGTTCTTTAGAAAAAAATTTCTAAAATATTTGATCATCAGATGATTATAGTTCTTCTTAAAGTCCATTATAAGTGAATGTACTTTCGTTTGCAAGACTTTAAAACTATTAATGGATACAATTCTGAAATGTTTAGAATATGTTCAAAATTGACTTTGTATGAAGAAAAACTCCTTGATGAAAATCTATTGAACAAAACTTTTTTCACCTTTCACGCCTCGAATGTGCTCCTACAGCAATAATATTGTGAGCGTGGTTTCGAAAAATATTCAGAACTTATATCTTGATTGCTTGTTGCTGAACAAAATAACAAGCTATTGATGAAAAATTATGGGTCGTATCCAACTGGTTTTGTACTATTGTTGAAACAAATGGTACTGCATTACCCGAAACAAATGTAATATCAAGACAAGGACATGACACATGGACACGCATTTGGACGCGAACGCGAACGTAGACATGAAATAAACCATAGACGAAATAATCAACAAAGTTATCAGAATAAGACAATAATTTCAAAAAGCAAAAAGCAGAAAAAAGTAGTATATCCAAAAAAAAGAGTACGAAAAAAAGTTGCTTTAGATGTGGAATGAAAGAGTATTGGGCACGTACCTGTCGTATAACAAAATATCTCGTAGATCTCTACACTAACTCAAAAACATTGAAATGATGTTAAATACATTTTCTGTTACCTAAAAGGAACTATTAATTTGTGATTATTTTATTCTCAAAAACCAGAATCTACTTTATTGGGATATGCCAATGCAGATTATCTCTCTGGTCCATATAAATTTAAATCACAAGCATGATATGTGTTTACGCGAGGAGGAACAATTATATCATGGAAATATGTGAATCAAACC